TCCTGTCGAGCCAGATCTTCCTCAGCGAGCCATCTTCTCGAATGAGGCATCATCACTCAGTGATGCCCTTTTATACACGATGCTAGAAATACAAGTTGTTACCACCGGACGTTGTCATTATATATCCACCATCAGCATCGTGTATAAAAGGGCATCACTGAGTGATGATGCCTCATTCGAGAAGATGGCTCGCTGAGGAAGATCTGGCTCGACAGGAAGGCGAAGACGCAACGTCGAGGCGAACAACAAGCATGGACCATCGACTCGGATCGCCGGCTCTGAGGAAGACGAAGACGTCGAAACGTTAGCCGAAAATAAATATATTTATCAACCTCGTGTAAGCTTATCAAGAAAGAATACATACTGATTAGTCACACCGAGGTTTAGGGAAGGTCGGTTTCGAAATATCACTTCCATTGTGCCATCCGCTCCCCTCATGTTAAACCTAAAGTGTTAAACTGTTAAGCTCTATTAGGTGGATGAGAATAATGAGAATGGTCAGATTTCGACTTAAATGATGTTAGTAGTCATTGTAACAGGGTGAAATTCTGATTTTCTAGAGGCTATAACACACATTTCTCTTCTTTGTTGCATCAAGGCTCGTATTTTGAACAGGAAAACAGCCAAGTTTATCTCCGTTTGCATCTACCTTCTTTTCGAGAACTTCGAAAAAAATAAAACAAAGGAGAACTAAGTTAGCATTAAGACATAAGAAAGGCGAAGCAAAAATTTTCGTTAAAATTAGGTGCAAGGTTATATTTCGTTATCAGTTTTTTTAAATCTTGTGCTAAATGCATGGCACCAAAGCAAAGTCTCTTTTATAAACCACAATGGTTCTGAACGCGTCAAATAGTCTAGCGATCGAAACCAACGTTATTTATAGAGAATCCAACATCGGACGTCATGTACTAAGCATACACTCCATTTTTTTGATGTCCAGATTTTTCTTCGATCCTTTCGGAAATTTTCGCTTTCAGGAGATGATGAGGAAATGTCGGTCACGCGCCGCTCCTCGGCGCAAGTTCTCCATCGCCCAGGGCTATCCGCGAATGAATCGTTGGAAGACGACGGCGCAGTCGAGAGGGTTCCACACTTCTACGCCGAGCTGCTACACCATGGACGGGTAACGAACTGTTGTCTAATGAAAAGGTCTCTTCGAGAGAAGAAGTAAAACATTCGCCAATGTGTTGTCATTGAACTTCTTTACCATTCCATTTGAGAATTCATTCATAAATCCAAAGTGTGAATTGAACAGTGAGATATTTTGTGACTGATGAATTCGTCTTTCTTGTCATAGAACTGCAGTCCGCCCCGTGAACATAGCACTGATATCGTAACTAACTCTTTAGAGACTCGAAAAGAAGTAGATGATGTATAATGTTGGACCAAATTTCATTGGTTGGTATGAAGGCTACAGAGAAAAGTAAAGGATAGGAACATGGAAAGAATTACTCAGGAATACCGCCAAAATGAATTGCGTGAGATGCATTTAGCGCGGAATTAAAGGCTACTTTCTACATTACACCAACATTTCTCAACATGTATTTAACTTTATCAGTTAAAATGAAAGCAAAAGATAACTCGTATATAATGCTGAGATATTTGCAAAACACCGGACCGCGGGTGTATGCGGTGGGGAACGAACGCGCTATTGTCCTTACCGGAGAGTAGCGCACTTCACCACCACACCATCCGGTTCCTTCCTTTTGCCTGTCTCTCAGCTAGTTCTATCGATCTTTTGCCATCAGCAATCACCCGTCAACGGGATTGATCTGGGGAGCCCAAATCGGCATTGAACCCAATTAAGCTGAGGCTTAGTTATAATCACAATCTTAACCCTTTTATTTACTGCCTTTTTCTTTTTAATGATGATTGCTGATGGCAAAAGATCGATAGAACTAGCTGAGAGACAGGCGAAACGAAGGACCCGAATGGTGTGGTGGTGAACGCGTTACTCCCCGGAAAGGACAACAGCGGGTTCGTTCCCCACCACCATAGACACCTGCGGCCCAGAGTTTTGCAAATATCTCAGCAACGTTGTGGTTGTATTTTGCTTAGTACCCTGCCGCGAAATTATAGTAGGCAGAAAATAAAAAGGTATAAGGTTGTGATTTCAATTTCAATTATTTGAGGACTTCTACTCTAAGCATGTTTGAAGTTGAACGAATCTTTCACAATGTTTACACCGCTAGCGCGATGGACTAACAACTCTTCTGCTTACCTCAGAAGTTCTTAACTCGCCAAGTATTCTAGTGATTGAGGAATCAGCATAAGTTGTCGAAAAACAGCTTTGCGAGTTTTGTATTCACCTATAATCAAATCAATGGCGGTGTTGAAATAGTGGTACTTGATACTTGAACGGCCCACCCTCACTGGTTGTGCGGTCCCCAGCATATTCTCCATTTTTCTGAGATTTGCTGGTTAAGCTATTGTGGTCCCGTGGAATTCCGAGGTCAGCCTAGCTAAGGTTTGACCCAGGTCTTCACCACCACAGGTACTCGTAGCCGTTTTCGAATTAGAGAGAGATTTGCCAGCATGCGACTTTGATACTAGGACGGTGGTGGATCCTGGTACTTGTTTATCCTTAGCTAGGCTTCCTGATGAAAACGATTGAAACGCCGGACTCCTTCTCGGCTTGAGAGGCCCTGCTAGGTGTAGGAATCACCCCGCTGTACACCGCAATCCGACACCCAATGACACCTCGCAGCCATGATGAGGCGGTTAACCGTTATGGATGGATGCGTTAGGGAGGTGTGTTTAAATAAGTGCCTCAAATTGAACATTCTTGTCTCCGTTAATCATAAGTGCCTTTTACCTCTCTAGGTAACGATGTTCTCTTATCGGCTTTTCTTCACGTACTAGCTATTATTGACCTTTGAACCGTATCGGTCAAAGGTCTCAATCACGTCTGACCATTGCTGGAATCATCGACCATTCTTGAAAGTTGTCATTTCTTATCGCGGTTTTTCTGATCCACCATGCAGACCTCATCATACCGTTTCTAACAAGCCGAGAACGGCTGATTAATATTGATTTCATAAAAGTGGCACCAATAATTCTCATTCTATGGTCGCACAACTTAAGGCGATATATAGATATTACATAACCACTGAAATGACGTGCAACAAGACGCTTTCGTTGCAAAGGAACGCACGATACTGACCGCTTAATAAAACAGCGAAACTAATTCGTTTATCAGTTTTTACAAAAAATTTTTTAGTAGAGATTCCATCCTATTCTCAGATGTTTTTTCACGGGTGTAGCATTGCATCGTCCAAAAGTAATTGTTACATTTATGGCTAGACAAGGGAGCGTGTGGCGTAGTAGTCGTAGGCGCCTTGCAACACACATGGGATCGATCCCCACGCCCGCGGCTCACCAAGCCTTCCATCCCTTCGAGGTCGTCAAATTGGTACCAGCCTTGTCTGGGAGTCATTATAAAGGCCAGATATTCTTCAGATTCAATCACCTCCAGACGATGCTTAATGTAGTCGAATGCATGGCGCAATTCTTTAGGGATTAATCAACGCCAAGAGCTTTATCATTTTTATCCTTTTTTCGTCAGTTAGAGATTTTTTAGTTTAGAAATTATTTCCAGCTCATTATGGGAACCACCTTTTTCTAATCAATACGCATTAGCTGTCCAATATATGTTGTTTGCGTTGGAATGTTGTTGGTGTTTTATTTATTTACATTATGCTTATACAGAACAAGCAAGCCCAAAAAAAGTAAAATACATTTTGTCTGAAATAAATAGGAGGAAAAGGGCAGAACGTGATATAACATTACAAAAAAAAGTTAAGATCTATCTCATGGACGAATCACAACTCGAACAACGAAAAGCCTAGAGAGGAGTAAAATAAAGGATGTAATGCTACTAGTTAACCGTATTCAATCATTTCATTTCCACACTTCTCCCAAAGAAATCGCCTAGTAATTTGATATCTCAGAGGGTGGACGAAGGGGTTATGGGCTTATAAAAGTGCATCGAATTCAAAAAGTCATTCTGTAACACTATAGTCTTTCAGCAGCGAATGGGAAGGAATTATAGCTAGAGCCAAAGTGGGACTGGCACAGGTCGATAGGTCACGCCTTACTTCATCTCACTCTTTCTGTAGTTGACACTCCTCATTTCCACACGCTCGTCGAAATGAATAGCTACCATTTACAAAGTACAGTAGTTAAACAACAAAATAGAATAGAGATACAAAAATCTCAAGAAAGATACAATAATAAATATTGTCGTGTTATTTCGAAAATGATCGTCCATAAGACAACACCAAACCCTGTTATTTATTTTAACGAAGAGGTGCGATAATCTGTCTGGGAACGACTGCACTCAAAGGTTTTTAGAAAGACGTGAGCCTATGACTGTAACTCAGTTTTTACTCATCCGTCTGCTCTGAATATCCGAGATCAATGGCTGATTTGACGTGAGTGTGGCTCTCTGAAAGCTGTACAGTAAATTACGACACCAATGGTCAAACCAAAAGCTTGACTCATTTGCGCAATGAATAGTAGAAATTTGATGTCTCACAGGTCCAAGAGATTTTACTGTAACAGATCATTTGCTTTAAGGTAAATCAAAATAGCGATCCGCTATAGAACCGAGGAGTCCTCAACTATTACTGGTAAATAGGTACATCCAATAACCAGGGCAGTCAATTTCCAGCCATTTAAAAACACAGTAAGGACCAGAGTTTTCTAACCTCATGAAACCTTCGCAGTACAGTTTTGCCAGATCTGCGTCTACATTTATAATACAACGACTATCGCCAGAAGTAAAGTTTAGATACTCAAAGGGATACGTATCCTATGATAATTTTAACTTATTATTCACTGCCGACTCCTTTTAACGGCAGGGTATATATTGCGAAATATAACTTTAATGATGCTGAGATATTTTCCATCAGCTGGGCAAAAGATCAATAGCTTAGAGATACGCGAAGCGAAGGACACGCATGGTGTGGTGGCGAACGTGATAGCCCCAAGAAAGGACATTAGCGCGTTCGTTCCCCACCGCAGACACCTGCGATCCGGAGTTTTGCAAATATCTCAGCATCATTAAAGTTATCCTATGATATTTGCTGGTTCAGTCCAAATGAATGCCTACAAGATCTCTCCTCGAAATTTCTTTGCTTAACGTTTATTTACTGGCATTATTTTTCCACGACAGGATATTTTATGAAATACAACCACAAGGATGCTGAGATACGAGCAAAGCAGGGAACCTCATTTGCGGTTCGAACTTGCAATGACCCTTTCCAGTGGTCCACTGCACGATCTGGGAGCCTTTCGTCGCTCTTCTCTCAGCCAGTGTCTTACTTTTAGTTTGCAGTGCTAGAGTTAGAAAAAAGCTCCCTGAGAGAAATATAAAGCACAGGCCTCGGTTGCTGCAATGGATAAAAAGTTTGCTCGCAGAAAGGAGAATTCTCTTCACTTACTCTTTTCTGAGCGTCGCTTTCGATTTTCTCGAACGCAACAAGATGCCATTTTAGACACATGGCGATTAGAAGCATTAGAATTTCGAGTCCGATGAGTATCACAAAGAACACCATCCTGTACTGATTGAGCGACACATCAGTACGAGCTGAGCAAACCAAATTTTTGCATTTATTAGTAATAAGGGGAACTAACATGAAAGAAAAAGGAAATCCTCACTTTGTAGTCGAAATGAAAGAAGCGAATGATTTTTCTCACTGTCCTTGAACGGGAAAACAATAATGTATACGATTGTGGCAGTCGTTTTCACAAGGATTCCTACTACCTGAACGTGTTACACATTGGCATTTTAACACATCTGAATATCCGATTTGACGAATTCAATGCCTTAGTTCTACCCTCGTTTGCGAAAAGTTTTTATAGTATGTGAATCGGATCCGTTTCGACCATCGAATACTCAGTTATCTCACACGATTACCAATTTGAACTCGAACAAGCTTCTTGCTTTAACAGACTGGTATCTGACTTCTAACTGGATAAGTTGTATCACACTAGCCAGCTACAACGCATATTTCTGAGGTCGGTTTTAACAAAAATGTGATGAGGATTTCGAAACATCTTTAGGAAATGCTCTGTCAAAATATTATACTTCAGACAATTTAAACCGTTGGTCTTTCCAATTCTTCCAATAATAGAGAGTGTGTAAATGTGCGCTGTCTTATTTAATTCTACTGGCTGCGGATCATTTGCCTACATTACGAATCGATGTTAAAGAGCTATCAACGCCATACGTAAGATGGTTTTTATTCACTTACCGCCACCAGGAGACAGGGCCAGTGATCGGATCGACTTTCGGACTTGATGTTGCAGAGGGAGTACAGCATGGTAACACAGGGCACAAACAATGACACCAAGGAGAGTGGATAGTGGAGTAGAACAGGTACGATGCTAACCAGTAGGTACAGCAGCAGAAGACACAGTACAACACGCTGAAAGAAATCACCAAATAGATTTAGCAAACTACCTTAACTGGGCACCTGCAAAATTAACACTAACACACTTTTCTATTACTGACAAGCCTTGGTTGTCTTCCTATTTTAATTCACCGTATAGCACTTTCTGCGTATTTCGACGTGCTCACTGTCATAGAGGGTACATCGTTGGTCTACAGCCGAAACACAGGTATAGTATTAGCTGTAGAGCGTAAGCTTTCCTTATACTGAACCGTGTTTAGCATGGCTTACTTATGTTTATCCTACTTGCCAAAAAAACTCACATCTAGCACATTGATTTTCAATTATTCTTCACGAAATAACCAAGCTTCCTCTAATGATTTACCACATCTTCGTGACTGAAAGGTGTTCCCAAGCTGAATTTCTACTAACTGCGAGAGTGACTACGTGAATAGTATAACTTATTTACAAGAATCAAACACTTGCATATTGAATTCTGGCTGCGAGTAAGCTTATGCCTTAGCAGAACTCAAATGCGCATTCTGCGACTAGCAGAAAAACATAAACCGCACCACAAAGAAAACGCGGTGACTCAAAAACTTCAGTGATTAGCGGGATTTTAGACACACGCAATCAAAGCGTTAGTTATTTCTCATGGTTTATGCCATATACCTTTCTCTCTGCATCACGTCACTTCTTAACAACAAATGAACCGAATTTGGACTTCTATATAACACTTTTTGATAGGTATGCTTTTCTTTCACCGCCTAATCTATTTTCGCGTCAGGTTATTTATGTGGAATACAGAGATACTAATGGTAATCGCGAATTCGAAGTTCACCTGAGGTTCTGGGCTTCTTCCATATCTCAGCATCCTAGTGCTTTTTAGATTTGCTATTGTTTTTGTATATTTATTTGCATTGGCTTAAAAAATCCATAAAAGCAGTGAACTCATCGAGAATCCGGTAAAATGGTAACTGTAAAATGGGCTTTGCATGGTGCCTAGCTGCAATTATAAATTGTAAACCTTCACGTGCAATGAACACATCACAGTAGTTGTGAAGAGGTGCTATGGAACTCCGAGTTTTAAGAGTTAAACGGATGAACATATGAATTTATTTAAGTGGGAAGCTTCGAAATGGAAGCGACGTTACGACTAGGGTGCCCAATTATTTGCACACGCAAAGGGGCTAGTATAAAAAAACATTCTTTTAGAGAATATATTTAGCAATTTGTATTCGAAAGGCCATTCTTGAGATGAGGGAAGAACTGCGTCGTTTCACTCAAACCTATGACCTGCTCTTCGCAAGCAAACTGGGAACGATACTCTAACAGAAATACGGTTATACGCAAACATCGCCTAGCGTTCATTTCCGTGCCATTAGAATAATTGAAGTATTTTGCAAAAATCCCAGAACTTACGTTCTTCTAACCTCAGTATTAATGGACATTTCGCTGCTTTCTCAATGAGCAAACAAGAAATTATTATAGCATTTATTCTTTCACACGGTTTGCTCATTAAGGAAACAATTATTGTGCACAAACTCACACTAATTTGCAAGCTCCTTGGCTCGTGGACCGAGTGGTGGGAAGGCGCCTTGCTTGGACGACGGTCGTGATAAACGGATTCGTCAAGTGGTCGAGAGTTTATGAATATCATTCTAAAGTCAAATAAGTTCAATAAGAATTGAGGAATGGTTGCTTGTATGCGATAACGGGTACGCCAAGCATGCGAACGATCAGATACAAATTTACGTTTATAATCAAACTATCGGAACAAACCATAGGAGTTGTTCTAACCAGTTATCACTTTATAATTTAAACAACCTTTTTTGAAAACACAGCTTGAACAGTATTTCAAAGATGAAAAATATACGGAAGACACATTATCACTAGATTGTGTGTAGTGAGAAATGTGTAAACAACTAAAAATAAGACAAGGCTGTGCGGAAGACTTAAGACAAGCCAAAATAGGGAGATTGACACATAAGCTCTGTTTAGAAGATTGTCTAGAAGTGATGGCTTCTGCCACAAAGAACTTCTCTTCATAAAGACTTGTCTATAGCACAAGAAAACTACGCAAATGTTTGGTGACAAGTGGTTTAGGGGAACCACATGATGACCACAATATGAAAAGTTCCATGACAACTCCATGAAAACTACGTCGATGAAAATCTCGAAAAGAGCTGTTCCGAGGGTCAAACTTGGATTTCTTCAATTCTTTTCCTGCTCGATATTTCAGACCAAAGACCTATTTCTTAAATGGAAATGCTCACTTCTTACAAATAATTTCAATGGGCACGTCATTTTTGCAGAAATTTACACTAAAGAAAATAAAAATTCGTGTGACAGGCACAAAATTCTAGAAATCCACACTCCAGATGTAATATTCTTTTTGTCGTTTGAAACACTAGAAATTTTTATATTGATGTTCAGTTTAGAAGGTTATCCCGAATCAAGCACGCGATGAACCAGGCGAAGTAAACGCTCCCACCATTTCTGCGATCCCCATGGAATAGCGATCAGTAAAAATTTGAAAATACCCCAACATGACTACATTAGGACTCCAAGGAACAACAATTTGCTTAGCCAACAATAAATCAGCCACACTACTGGCACGCTGGGAGCTCCATTCCAAGAGTTCAAATGGTGTCATTCGAGTCGAATCGAGTCAAATCTTCCACTACTCCGCAATAGAAAATATTTTTGGCCCGAGCTGCAATCTACTGTTCTCCTCGTCCTTCCGTCGTCGACAGTGCTCACTGCGTAATCCGCTCATTTTTTTTTGATGTATGTTGTGAAAATTTTTTGGTGCTTTGAACTGGCAGTATGTGGTTTTAATTCGAATAGATACATTTGTCTAATGCATAGCAGAGCGAAGAAAAAGATCGTTTAGACAAAAAAGATGAGCTTTGGCATCATTTGATCGGTGGCTTTTCCGAGAGTTCAGAATATTGCACATGTTGCCTTTCTTCTACGCCAGTGGTCTTTCATGTCTTTTCCATGCTTACGGAGCGCCATCAATAGATGTAGAATGTTATATTGTGTATATATATATATATATATATATATATATAGTCTACTACATTTCTACATTTCTCACATTGCTGAACAAAATGAGCGGATTACGCAGTGAGACTGTCGACGATGGAAGGACGAGGAGAACAGTAGATTGCAGCTCAGGAGAAAGCAAGCGTGCTTTAGAGCAACGATATGTGAGATGGAGAGTGGGCATATTTGCATGTGAAATCACTAATGCGAACTGTACACGGTTCATAGTTCGCGTATCGTTAAGAGCTAACGTCATGTGTCCAGTATGCATCATCAATATTCATCGACAACGATCACAGGGAAGATAAACGAATTAAAAATGTCCTGCTGGTGAAGATGGGCGTGAAAGTGCACATGTAAAGAAACACTACCTAACATTGGATTGAGAGATTTTTTCAGAACAAAAGCCAATAAGGAATCTTTTGAAAGATTAGGTGAAGCAAAGAGAAAGGCCTGTCATAGAAAATCATTGCGAATGACCTACGTTGCCTGGGCTCTTTCTATCTTTCGCAAAAAACTGTGTTTGCAGTGTGAATAAAGCGCATCCACGTAATTTTCGATACCGAATGCTACAAGTTTTGGATATTCTAATGTAGGGATAAGTGAGCGAAGTTTAAGTATCCTCTAAGTTTACATTGATGCGAATCATCAATGATGATAGCGTCCTTTACTCACTCATTGGTTTTGAAGTTCAGTTTTTTACAGTTGAACCCCATAAATGAATAACATGAAAGGGTATAATTGTAACAACAGCAAAAATGCACAAGGAAAAAAGGATAAAGATATTTGTATGGCTGTGAAGATAACAGTATTCTGGTGATATTTCTAGAAAGGTACATACCTGGGAATTGCTCATTTGGATTCTCAGAAGTCAAGATTTGTGATGAAAAATTCTCTCGTCACAAATGTGAAAGAGCAGATGCTTGTGAACGTGGATATTTCACTTTCTCACAAGAAGAAACAAATACAGTAGCTACTCCAAGACAGAGATTGGATCAATGAAATTTCAAAATAACTTATGTTACAAAAAGATTTATGGTTATCTGAGATGTTACTCCTAACGAGAAGAGAATGGGCACCATACTTGCCTGAGAGGATAGCTGCACTGGCTCTACGTTAGGCAACCGTGAATCATTGTAAAGGCCAGATATGCATTAAATCACCTACAACAATGATTAATAATGCTGAACTCATGGTACATCCCTCAAGAGTTGATCAATGACGAGAGCTTTATGCTTCAACCTTTTATGGATTGCTTTCTCTAAACAGTTGTCTGCGGTGACATCTCTGTGAATTCAATTAATTACGATGGTCAACGAAGGTGTGAGGAGAAAGGAGGAATCACTAGATATAACTTTAAACACTCTGCATAATGAAAATAGGAAAGCTTTTAAAATATGAAACGATTGAATGTATTCCTGAGAAATCTTTGAATGTTAAGAAAAAATTTAAGAAGTGTGGCCTATAGCTACTGCGTGAAACGGCGGTGCTTTCAGCTTCATGTCGAAGCTTGATGCGTCGTTCTAAGCAGAGACTTGTGCCTTTGTAATCATATCATGTGCTATTTCAAGGCGCGGTTTCCACTTTGCACGATTGTTTTACTGCTCTTACTTTGAGGTAATTCTCCTTGAACAAATAACGGGAAACGAACGTATACCCCAATCATTTTCCAAGTGGCACAGTAAATTCCAGTCTTTTCTGGAGAGAATTTCTTTTTCTGGTAGTGCAATGATACATGCAGAGCATTTTTGTCACAATGAAACAGCATTTCACAGATGCAATCTGTATCACTTGTGCTGTCCCACACACCATTGACCTCGTGGCCAGCCAGGACTGCTCAAGGAACTTCGCTCGCTCAGGGTGCAAGAAGAGTATCATATTTCTGCTGCTATGCCTTTATTTTATTGTTCTAGGGAGTGCACACTAACTGCTAGTTTCTGCGGTCAAATCAGCATACTTTTTAGGATTTCGAGATGGAACTATCAAACTCCAGCTCGGCATAGGTAACTTTGCTGAAGAAATGAACCGCGGCAACATATCGCTGTCCAATCACCTGTATCACCTGTAGTCCCGTTGACCGTCGAGTGACACTAGGGGGCGCCAGTAAATCTTCCATTTTTCCCTGTCGCGTGCAAGAGTAACCCAGTGGGTTCTGCTCGCTCTAGGTACTCGTCGAGCATCATATCTTTCTTCAAGGCTCTCTGTGAAGAACTCTGACCATCGGGTCGGTGGTCTTCCTGCAGTACGTTTAACATCGCGAGGAATCCAGTCACTAACGGCTCTTGTCCATTGGTTATCATTCATACGCGTTACGTGTCCAGCCCACCTTATCTTCGACTGTTTGGCGTACAGAACGGCATCTTCGATTTTTGATCGTTGATGCAGATCGGAGCTTCTGATCCCATCCCTTATTTGTATGGAACGGAATACTCCTAGCATCGTCCTTTCGACTGCGTGTTCGATAACGCTGAGCGACCTTTCATCCTGCTCACGCAGCGGCCAGGTTTCTGACGCACACGCCAGGGCAAGAAGCACCGTTGAGTCGAAAAGGTGGGCACGAAGTCGGGTGTTCTTTGTTCTCTTCACTACATCCTCGATGCTCTTGAAAGCTCCCAAGCCGCTCGTTTCCTTCTGCTCAACTCTGGAGCTAAGTCGTTCAACATGTTTATTTCCTGACCTAGATAGACATAACTGGAGCATTCGGAGGTATTCGTTCCATTTAGCGTGAATAGGGCACACGAAATCACTCCGTTTCTCATGATTATCGTTTTTTTGAGATTTTGTCGAAGACCAGTCATTCCACAGGCTTTCTCAAAATCGGCAACCATTCCGTCCGCTTGGCTATTGTTTGCTGTTATAAGGACGATGTCATCAACAAAGCGGAGATGGTGTAACTGCCGAGCATTGATTTCCAGTCCTGTATTATCCTATTCCAATGATCGCGTGATGTTCTGGAGAGTGGCGGTAAATAATTTTGGCGAGATGGTATCGCCTTGCCTAACCCCCTTTTGACGTCAATGTTAATATCGTTGTAGAATGGTGACATTGTTCACGCTGACGCTGTTCAGTACCTAGGAATAACCACTGAAAAGATTTCACACCAAAAAATCCTATCTATTTGCTATACTGGTAAATGTAGTGTAAAGGTTAGAGGCACTCTCCAATAGACACAGAAACATTGACCAGATCCGGCACTCATGGCACACCAAACCTTGTATTCCTAGGGGATCGGCAATTGTTACTGAAAGACGAGACATTTATTCCACATTTTACATGGCTCGTCTTGCACATATGCTGCACAGATCCCAGCACTTCTTGCATTCTTAATTCGAATCCTCGCATCCATAATTCACGAAGGTCTTCCAACTTTTTGCGTGTGTTTGTACGCCACTTGAGGATTCTCTTTCCGTCATGAATGTCACTGAATGTTGGTCGAACCGATTCGTCCTGGAGCCTTGAGATAGCCAAGCTAGAGCACTCCCATTTGGATTGCAAAGAGCGGACTCTTCACTGATACAGGTAACATTTAATAACATTTTCTCGACATCGATGGGCTGAAATGTTTGGTGAACCCGAAGCGGAGTCGCACCAATGCAAGCTCATTATTTA